ATTTCTTATTTAGAGTATAATTTCATTAAAAAAAAATCATATTTCCATATTAATAAACTATTAAAGCAGTAGTTCACCCCTGCATGTTGTTTCAGACTTGTATGACTTTTTTCAAAACATAAAAGCAGATAATTTGAAGAACGTTGGCATTGGTAACCAAACAAAAAAACAAAATTCTCAAATTTCTCAAAGGTTAACTTGCCTAAAAGTTTTTGTAATGATAAATTCTTTCTTGAATCAAATGAAATATTTCTTTCTAAAGCTACTTTTTGTTATGCCTTTGATTGATTGATGCTTTTCTCATTTAGCACAAATTTGATGTGTGATTAATTTGCAATTAATTTACACCAATCGCCATTTTGTAATTAATTAGATTATAACTTTTAATCGCTTGACAGCCCTATTTATTACTATAGTACTGCTAAGATATGCTTGCATATTGAAGTAGTATTTTGTTGATATTACTGTCTGATGTAAGGGTTCATGATGCATGTTATTTTGATGGAGTTTGTGTTGTGGTCCAGATGCATTGCTCTGGTCTGGCCTGGAACCCAGAGGTGGCCACTCAGCTGGTTCTGGCGTCTGAAGACGACCGAATGCCCGTCATCCAAATGTGGGACCTGCGCTTTGCCACCTCCCCTCTCAAAGTGCTGGAGAGCCACACAAGGTAGACATAAACATCAGCAGATGCTCTTACCCTCCTTGAGTCTTTCTGTGTCCTCATCGGTCTGTATGTGTGCTTTCAGAGGTGTTTTGGCCATAGCCTGGAGTGAAGCAGATCCAGAGCTGCTCCTGAGCTGTGGGAAAGATAACCGGATCCTGTGCTGGAACCCCAACACAGCTGAGGTGAGAGCTTAGTCCTTTGAAGAACACTGAGGTGCCACCAAAAGTTTATGGGGTGTAACATGTGATGTCTTCTCAATCAGGTCCTGTATGAGCTGCCTACCAGTACTCAGTGGTGTTTTGACATCCAGTGGTGTCCCAGAAACCCAGCTGTGCTGTCTGCTGCTGCCTTTGATGGCCATATCAGCATCTACTCCATCATGGGAGGAAGCAATGACGACGCCATTACTTTACAGTCCGAACAGGTACAACTGAACTCTCAATACAAGCTAACTTTCTCATAAGCTTGAACACTGATGCTCCTGATGTTCATTGGCTCAACAGTTAAGTAGTTCATTTGGAAATATGGATCCTTTTGGTACTGGCAAGATGCTGCCGCCTTTACAGCTGCCTCAGACCGCCCCGTCCCAGAGCACCGTCACGCCTCTCAAGAAACCCCCTAAATGGATCCGCAGACCAGTTGGAGCATCTTTCGCTGTCAGTGGCCACAGATCTAATAGACACCTTAAAAATGGTGTGCTTGTTTCTAATCCGCTTTTGTCTTTTTGTGAGCAGTTTGGTGGAAAACTGGTCACTTTGGACAACATCAAGCCAGCGGCCCAGCAGCCCCAGCAGACTGCTGCCCATGTGGTTCATATCAGTCAGGTTGTGACAGAAACAGATTTCCTTGATCGATCGAACCAACTTCAGGCAACACTCACTGCAGGAAATTTCCTTGAGTACTGCCAAACCAAGACTGAAGCTGCTCAGAGTGAATTTGAGAAGACCGTCTGGTCTTTTCTGAAGGTGGGACACTAGAATAGTTTATAAGCTGTCGTACTTGTATTACTTAATCAAGTTTTTACCGAAGTTGTAACCAATAGATTTATGTGCTCAGGTGAACTTTGAAGAAGATGCACGAGGGAAATATTTGGACCTTTTGGGATACAAGAAGGAAGAGCTCGCGTTAAAGGTATTTTTGTGTGTTCACAGTGTTTGTAGTGTGAATAGCTGCATCTGCTTCTTTGTGTCTTGATTAATTTTGCTTGTGGTTTTCAGATTGCATCAGCATTAGAAAAGAACTGCAAATCTGATGAGGCCGATGTGGTAAGTGCACCAGTCATTGTGTCTTAGCTAACGGTTAAACCTTTCTATTTTGGACTCGTTCAGGCAACCTCTGCATTCAGCTTGAGCCTATTTGACTTTTTGAGAACCAAGCAAAAAGATGCTCGTGCTTTAATTCATTACACAAAACAAGACAGTAGCAACACAATGTTGTTTTTTCTTTTCTTTTGCTCCTCCTCATGTACTTCCCTGTAAGTAAGGGGAAGTGAAAATTT